TGCCTGGTTGAAAAGTTTGCATTTAGTGAAAATTTACCTAATATCACCTAAATGCACTTGCATTCTTAAAAAAAAAGAAAGAAAGAAAGCAGAAGTGGAGTAAAGCAAAGAGACAATTGCAATACAGGCAGCGTGGGAAGGTCGACTGCCATTCCGTTCATGGAGCATACATCAGAGTAAGGGTGGAGCTCCCCAGCCCACAGCCCTACCCTCTGCAGCCCAACTCCCTCCACGGGGCAGGCTCCCAGCTCCAAGGTCACAAACTTCCTAATCTCCCTTACCCCATTTGCATTTTTGACTGCTTTACCACTTGTTCCTGGACAAAAACCCTGCTGTTGAACTCCCAGATGTGGCCTTCTTAGCCTGAATGAATCTCTATGTATACAGTTTGGGTATTAGGATCGAGTTAAAATTATAAATTGACGTAAGGGAGAGTGGTGCCTCTGGAATGCTGTCTCTACTCAGGAACGTGGTGTGTCTTTCCAGTGGATACAGTCTTCGTCTGTGTCTCTCTAGAGACCTGCAGGCTTATTTAAAACCTAACGTTTAACCTAACATTTTTTTTCCTTCTCTTCCTTTTTTTTTTTTTTTTTTGAGTTTGTTGAGTTCTTCTGAAGGGTTTGATCTTTGATGTATCTACTGTTGCTGTGAGGATTCAGTAGCTCACTATGTGACATACTTCACGCACACAGTAGGCGCCATAGGAATGCTTGCTGTGATCGTCACCCTTCATTTCTTCCATCGGACCCTGTATCTGTTGATGACTGGAATGTGGGTCATGGTTGTTCTGGCTCCGTTTCTGCCCAGCTCTTGTCCAGGTGAAGCCGGAGGTCAGACTGGTTAAAAAGGAAGCGTGGGCAGGGGTGCGGCTCTCAGCCCCACCCGCAGTCAGCTCTTAGCCCTGCTACAGCTGCTGCTTCCCCACTCATTTCTGTCCCCAGAATTAGGATTTTTCTCCTTGTAGACCCATCTTCCCCCAGGAAGCTAGGGACTGTTTGGCCCTAAAACTCAATCATCAGAAGCCAAGATATAATTATCACAGCCTCAAGTGTGTAATATGACTCTGGAAAACAAAGTTTAACATTCCCAGGGAAAAAAAGAACTGTATTTGGACAAGTCTTCCAGTCCAGAGCAAACCCTTTGCTGCTTACTCAGAAACAGGCTCTCTGTGGATCTACCCCAGAATTCAGTAGTTTAAAAGACTAACCATTCGTTTTGCTTGTGGTCGACAGTTAGCTGGGTTGCTCTGCTGACCTGCACCAGTCTTGGCTAAACTCAGCTGGCCTCACTCACACAGCTGTAGTCAACTGGAGGCTGAGCCACAGGCAGGCTGGTCTAGGACTTCCTCCCTCGCATGTCTGGCAGTGATTGGCTGTCAGCTGGGGCGGGGACTTCGCCTGGGCTCTGTCTCTTATCCAAGGCAGGCTAACCCAGGCGTAGGAGAGACAGCAGAAGTCCACGGGTTTGCTTGAGACCTATGCTTGGGACTGACTCAGAATCTCTGCACCCCGTTCTGTTGGCCAAAGCAGGACACGAGGCCAGCCTGCTTTGAAGGGGTAAGAAACTGACTTCTCTTCACAGGCAGGGCTTCAAGGCCATATTGCAAAGGGTGCACCTACAGGGAATTGTGAAAATTTTGACATTCTGGTAAATCTACCACACTCCCTGTGCCAAGACAAAGACACTGGGTGCTGATTTCCTTTCAGCAAAGGTTCTTGGCCTCACAAGCAGCCTGCGTGTGGACTTGTTCTGGGGGAGTTCTGCAGATGGTCAGTCTGTCCCATTCATCCTGACTCCTGTAAGTTTCACTTTCAGAGGGTGCTGTTTCTTGATCTGGAGCCCCAGTCTAAGTCTGCTGTGTGTGATCCTCCACACCTGCTGTGGGGTGACCCCGCTCCCCGTCTGGTTTCCGAGAGCACCTGCTTGTAGAGGTGGAGTATCCTAGTATCGATTTACCAAGATGCTGAGGATGATTCTCAGCCAGTGGCTGAATCAATGCTTGTTGACTTAGCAGCCTTATCCATCAAGGGCTAATTAACTCCCACTCTCATTAGCAACGATTGGAAATGTCAGGGGAACTTGGCAGTAATCCAGTCATCTCTCCTGCTGCTGCTATCTCTGCCCTTAACTTCTACGGCAGGAATGTGGCCCACTGGTGGCCACGCAGGGACAGATTTCCTCTGCCAGTGCCTTTTGTCTTCTGGCTTTACAGCGGCCCGGAGCCCCTGGGGCCAGGCTGGGGAGTGGAGGGAGGTTGCACATCTGACCCTCTCCTGCCCACCGAGGACCCAAGGCCAATGCTCTGGGGGTGAGAAAGTAGGAAGCAGGAGGCCCATGGCCCAATCCAGGGCTCTTGAAGTGGAAAGGAGATGACCCACAGAGGCAGGGAGAAGGGAGATGGAAGAGAAGGATGCTGAAAGTATGGTTGGAGCAGAGGATCAACACTAGCTGCGGGTATTTCTGACGAAGCTTGCCCTGTATAAGTGAATAGCATGTGGTAGTGACCACTGTACATATCATTATGTATGCTTTACTTGACCACATAAGACTTCCCTCTTATATTTGGTGTTCATTCACACAGGGACAATGTCATATAATACTACATTTAAAAGCATTTTAGGGCCAGCACTGTGGTGTAGCAGATAAAGCCGTCATCTGCAGTGCCAGCATCCCATATAGGTGCCAGTTCAAGACCCAGCTGCTCCACTTCCGATCCAGCTCTCTGCTATGGCCTGGGAGAGCAGTAGAAAATGGCCCAAGTCCTTGGGCCCCTGCACCTGCATGGGAGACCCAGAAGAAGCTCCTGGCTTCTGGCTTCGGATTGGTGCAGCTCCGGCCATTGCAGTCATTTCAGGAGAGAACCAGCAGATGGAAGACCTCTCTCTCTACCTCTCCTTTCTCTGTAACTCTTGACTTTCAGATAAACAGATAAATCTTAAAAAAAAAAAAAAGGCATTGTAACGGTGTTCACTTAGCTTAGCTATTAAGACTTCCATTAAGATGCCCGCATCCTATGTCAGAGTGCCAGGGTTCAATCTCCAGATCCGCCCGAGATGCCACTTCCTGCTTGTACAGACCCTAGAAGGTGGCCGTGGCGAGTCAGGTGTTCCGGTTCCTGCCACCTGTGGGAGACCTCAATTCAGCTTCCAGCTTTGGCCCTAACCAAGGGTTGTTGTGGGCATTTGAGGAGTGAACCAGCAGATGGGATCTCTCTCACTCTCTCACTCTTTCAAGTTATTAAAAGAAAATTTTGAAATTCTAAGTAACCCAGTATTATCTAATAGGATAAAGAAGAAATATATATACACATGTGTAAGAATTTTATGTAATTTGGGTAAAAGGTATCTACATGTCATTTATGTAAACATATATATGATATGTAACTGTCTGTTATAAATACCTTACATATCTTTTTTTAAAGATTTATTTTATTTGAAAGGCAAAGTTACAGAGAGGCAGAGAGAGAGAGAGAGACAGGTCTTCCATTTGCTGGTTCACTCCCCAAGTGGCCTCGACAGCCGGAGCTGAGCTGATCTGGAGCCAGGAGCCAGGAGCTTCTTTCGGGTCCCCCACACGGGTACAGGGGCCCAAAGACTTGCGCCATCTTCTACTGCTTTCCCAGGCCATAGCAGATAGCTGGATCAGAAGTGGAGCAGCTGGGACTAGAATCAGTGCCCATATGGGATACCAGCACTGCAGGCGGTGGCTTTACCCACTATGCCACAGCACCAGCCCCTTACGTATCTTATATTGCTAAATACAAACATGTATACACATACACTTCCATTTTGGCTGAAAAATGTCTAGGAAAGGGATAATAACTACCTCTAGAGGGATTTCTTTTCATTTTCCTTTCATATACTTTGACTTTTGTTTACAGTGAGTATGTGCTATCTTCACAATTTTTTTTTGAAAAGCAGCCTGTCTGGGGCCGGCGCTGTGGCGCAGCGGGTTAATGCCCTGGCCTAAGCACTGACATCCCATATGGGCACTGGTTCTAGTCCCAGCTGCACCTCTTCCAGCTCTCTGGTATGGCCTGGGAAAGCAGTAGGAGATGGCCCAGGTCCTTGGACCTCTGCACCACAAGCGAGACCCGGAAGAAGCTCCTGGCTCCTGGCTTCGGATTGGTGCAGCTCCAGCCATTGCAGCCATCTGAGGAGTGAACCAGCAGATGGAAGACCTCTCTCTCTGTCTCTACCTCTCTCTGTAACTCTGTCTTTCAAATAAATAAAATAAATCTTAAAAAAAAAAAAAAGAAAAGCAGCCTGTTTGTAAACCACAGAGTGTTTTCCAGCTTTTTTAAATCATGTTATCCCAGCTTAAATTGCAAACTCAGGTGGCTATTTATATTGGGTCCTTCCTGAAAAAATATTTCCTGTGGTGCCCACCAGAACCATGTGGTTTCCAGTATAGACAAACAGTGAATCCAGTCATGGATTCGGCTGATGAAGGAGTCCAAATCCTGACCCTCCCTGGGCAGAGCCTTCCCTGCGTACATCACTGCCCATGCCTGGCAGCCCCTGGCTCCCGGGCAGGTGCTGGAGTTGGTGGCAGCATCTCCCATTGATTATTTTTTTAACATTTATCCATTCATTTGAAAGTCAGAATTAGAGATGAGGGAGGGAAGGGGAGAGAGAAAGAGAGAGAGAGAGAGAATCTTCCATCCTCTGGTTCACTCCCCAAGTGGCCACAATGACTAGGGCTGGGCCAAGCCGAAGCCAAGAGTCAGGAATGTCTTCCAGATCTCCCACAAGGGTGCAAGGCCCCAAGCATCTGCCATCCTCTGCTGCTTTCTCAGGCGCATTAGCAGGGAGCTGGATCTGAAGTGGAGCGGTGTGGTCTCATACCAGTGTCCATATGGGATGCTGGCATTGCAGGCATCAGCTTTACCTGCTACACCGCAGCGCCGGCCCCGTCTCCCATTGCTGTTGCACCCAGGCAACCCCTGGCTCCCTGGCAGGCACCGGAGTTGATGACAGATCTCCCATTGCTCTCCCCAGGGCCGTGGGGGCAAAGGCAGCATCTACGTATGGGCCTCCGGGGACGGTGGCAGCTACGATGACTGCAACTGCGATGGCTACGCCTCAAGCATGTGGACCATCTCCATCAACTCGGCCATCAACGATGGCAGGACTGCCCTGTATGATGAGAGCTGCTCTTCCACTTTGGCCTCCACCTTCAGCAACGGGAGGAAGAGGAATCCCGAGGCCGGTGTGGTGAGTACGACCACTCTGTCCTCCTTTCCACGTGCCCACTGGGACAGGGGTGGGTTGCTCTGCTAGCTCCCCTCCTTCTCTCAAAGGGTTAACATCAATTCAGAGGGAAAGACCCATTTCCTTCATGCCCACTTACTTTCTATTACAAGGTGGAGCCCTACCATATGCTAGGAGGAAACAAGGATGACTATTTTCTAGCTCACGTTCCATAGATTTTCTTCTTCATTATTTTAGCTGGCAAGTAATGATACACCCCAGTTTACCAATAAGTTTTCCCAGCACATCATTCATAAGAATAACTGAGAATGGTGACATCACACTGTGACCCCATCTGAGCCATGTATGATGGTTATTTAAAAATAGCATCTCTGGATAGAATTTTCTGGGCCTATCAGCCCCCTAAAACTGGGGACACCTGTGAATTTTCTCGAGAGAGGGTTGTGACTTTCATCATATTTTGACATGGATCCATAATTCTGAAAGCAAGAAGGTTATTTGTTGCCTTCTTCTGAGCAGTTATTCCTTCCTGAACAAACAGGGTTGCAATGGTAAATTTTCTTAGCCCCTTACAAATATGTCATCTGTACAGCATAATGAACCCCCATGGATCCGTTCTCCTCTGTGGCTATGTGGTTCACTTAACCTTTCCTGGGACCTCCATGCCAGGAATCTAGTAGGTGGTTCGTAAGTTTCCAGTGAGCTACATCCCCCGACTGGCCACCCACCCCCTGCTCTGAGGCTTCGCGAGACAGGAGGACAGGAACCCAGAACAAAGCCTCAGTACCAGCTAGGGCTTCCACCCTGTGTTTCCGCATCAGGACTCCCACCTTGGCAAGCTGGCTGGGCTCCCATGTGAGCCAAGAGAAGTCCTTTACCTAGAAAGAGACACTGACTTTGACACCTGTCCCTCCCAGGAGCCCTGCAGGGGCTCTTAGTTGGTCTAGAGGAGATCGGAGAGCATGCCAGGTCCTCCCAGGAGAAGGAGGCCTTAGCTTCTCTTACCCATGAGGAGCACGGGCAGAAAGGGAAGAGAACCAAGCAGAAAAGATGAGCTGCGGAAGCCTCTGTCCAGCTGAGCTTGTGATGCTTCCATCACGAGGGAGGTTTCACTCCCTACCCTCCAGGGTCTCAACAGTGGCTTTGAGCTCAACCCTTACCCATGACTCTCTTCCTACCGGGGCTAGGGAAGAGCCTTGAATTTCCTCTGAATGCTGTAGTTTTGCCCAGTAGATGCCTTTAAACCTCCTTTGTTCCTAAAGGAATAGGCTCTTTGAGGGTCCTACAGACAGAAAGAATGCCTGTGGTTTGTACATGATCCTAATGAAGATCTTGGCTCTACAAACGTTGGAAATAAGGTTTTTCTCCTTGTGAGAATTCCTTCAAACTCAGTTTGTCAGCTCCCCCACACCCCTGAAACGAGATTTGTGGAGGTGTTCACACGCCTGTTGGGTCGTGTTGACCCACTGTGTCTCAGTGCCTCTCTGTGAGTTTTAGATGTAGAGAAATATTTACTTCTAATATCTTATTCTTGGCAGACTTTAGGTGAGCACACTATTCTTCCTCTTCAGGAATGACATCCTTTTCTTCATGAGTGAGAAAGAAATGCTGATGAAATGGCCCTTGTGCTTTCCAAGAGCCAGTTCCAACGCCACAAAATTTGGGTTCGCACTGATTATGGCAGTGGGTGATGGATCACCACCTTGATTGATCACCACCTCCTAGTGTTTCTTTTACAGATTCAGGAAGTAAATGTTTCTCTCCTCACTGATATAGCCAGATATGCTTCTTTGAACAATTGACTTATCTTGACTTCTCAATGTAACTATGTGTGATTATACATCCCTTTTTGCATGGACTGCTAGGAAGCTCAGTTAAAATTAATTGCAAAGAGATAGATGTATGGATGCTGAGCTTATCCTTAGCTTCATCTTTAGCTTCCTAATCAGAAAACAAGTGCAGTTTATACAAAAGAAATATACAATCCCCTGCTCCCTATTAGTTTGAGAGTTCAAAATAGCACAGTGTATTCGCTCATTACTCAATGTCTTCCCTTGCAGGCAACCACAGATTTGTATGGGAACTGCACTCTGAGGCATTCTGGGACATCTGCTGCTGCTCCCGAGGCAGCTGGCGTGTTTGCACTGGCTTTGGAGGCGAAGTATGTTGATAGCTCTGGGCCCAGGGCTGGCCCGACAGGGTGCACTAACACACATCTCTCTACCCACATACCAGATGTCCCTGGGGTCAACAGCCAGTTGGGGAGCTAGTGAATAGTCAGGGCCAGTGAACTCTGCTGGATATTTCTAAATGGCCTGGGCCCTAAGTCAGTTACACACACACACACACACCATAAAACTCTAACCCTTGGAGAGCACAAACCCCTGCACCCGACAGCACTTTAGCACATATCAGCAACTTACTCAGATACCAATTAGGCCACACAGCTATTTCTTTTGTTTTTTCTTCTTAATTTGAAGGGCAGAAAGAAAAAGATCTTCCATCCACTCAAATGGATCTCCCACATGAGTGGCAGGGACTCAACTATTTGAGCCATTACCTCTGTCTCCCAGGGTACACATTAGCAGAAAACCAGAGTCCAAAGTAGAGGCGGGACTTGAACCCAGGACTTTGAACTTGGGTGTGGGATATGAGTGTCCCAGTTGGCATCTTGACCACTGTGCCAAATGCCCATCCCATGGATATTATGTCTGTCTTTATGAAATCCACCCTCTTTGTCCTCTGTCTGTCCCCTTGGCTGTTTGACCCCACTAATAGTCACAGTCAGCTGAAAAGGAAAATCAGATGGCCCAGCTGGGTGGCTCACAAGGTGTTTCAGAGCTTGTGGCCAACAAGGACCTCCTACTCAAGACTGTGCATGTGTAAGTGAATCCTTTAACACGGAGAGAAGGTGGGCCGGGTCATGCAGTGTAGATCAAGAAGTGAGCTTTTCTTGGAAACCTTCGAAGCTACAGGTAAGAGGAGACCATTCCCACATTCTCACCATCCCATAGAGAAGCCGCATGTTGCTGCACTTGCTTGGATTAGAGCATCAGTGGAGGTGCCTGTGCACCTGCTGGTCCCCTCCAGTGAAGCCAGGGGCTGGCCTTATGTTCCAACATAAACACTGGGCTTCAGAAACACCTCATACGTGGTGTAAGAACAACTACCAGCTGTGCAAGGAGTGTTCAGGAAATGCAGCACCCTGAAACCTGTGAGAAGTCGGATTTGGGCTCCTGGGGGAGGAAAAATGAGTCCCTCTTCTCCATCAGCAGTTGCTAGGCAACCTGACCTCCTCGCATCTGCCTGCAGGCAGCCCCACTTGTCTCTCTGCACATATGTGGCACATTTTCTGATTTGCGCAGGAGGCAAGAGTTGGTTCCTAGAATAGGAAGGGACTTGAAACAAGTATCTACTATAGCCTTCTGCCTTCAAGCAGAAAAGGCATAATTATATGACTTTAAGGTAGATAGATGACAGATAGATAGAGAGATTGGTAGAAAGATATGATAGAAGGAGAGAGAGAGAAGCGGGGGGTGGGGGGACTCCCAAGGTGAGAGAGTCCTCTGTTTGGATTAGTCTAAACTTTGATTCTTGTAACAGAAGTCAAGACACCAAGAGACAAACATTGGTCAGAACCTAACTACTAAGCACAGAAACCAAGAGTTACGCACATTTAATTTGCATCTCCTGAAGATGAAACTGTGCATCTGAGGGCTTGAGTGGGCCCTGGGATCTGAGCTGGCTTTGCTCACTCTGGCTGCAAGAGGACCCTGCTGCCCACTGCAGAGCCTCCCAGGGGACAGGGAGCAGGAGTCTCTGGTCTCCCTGTCAGCCTTAGAAGGCAGCACTTGACTCCCAGTCTCCTGGGAAGCAAAAAGCACTTGCCCAGACCATGTGCACACAACAGCACCATCTCAATACACTAAAGCAGTGGCGCAAAGCTGCTGCAGTCCTAACCAAGCCACGGTTCTTCATCCCTTTAGCAACAAGCCGTAAATACCTTACAAAAAATACCTTACAAATTGCGCAGTGGCCACTTGAGCACCCTTTGGGAGCAGTGGTCATCAGTGTAAAGCTCTCTCTTGTCATAAAGGGAGGAAATATTACGTGGAGGGCAGGTGGATCAAGTCCAGTAGCCCTAACGTTCTTCAAAACACCAACTGCCTGTGGTGGCAGCAGAGTCTGAGATGAGATTTGGGTGCAAGTTATTTATAAAGGAAGAGGTGGCTCCCAGGAAAGACCAGCAAGGAAGTAGGAGGAGTTGGGGATGGGGAGTAACCCAATAAGATGCCATCTCAGGAGAAGTTCTGGCTTGGGCTCTGGCGTGCAACCTGTGCCTCTGAGTTTGTTCCTCCTCAAGCAAGCTAAGAGAGGCCCTAGGAGATGCAAATGCCATGGGACCTCTGGACTTCTGCACCTGTAGCACAGCCCTCCAGTGGCCAGCAGTTAAAAGCATTGATCAGGATGAAATCGCCCCAGGAGAGGGCCTGGAGGGTGGAGGAGACAAAGGCCCTTCACAGGACAGTCCCCAAAGTTCCTCTCTCTCTGACACTGCGATGAGGCAGCAGGGAGTCCTCAGTGACACACAAGACAAAGGCTGTTTCCTACCCAGAGGCCCAACACAGCAGCTTTTCCAAAGCAGTTTGAATGCAATAGATTATCCTGTCCATGTGCACACCTATCAGAAACCTTGGAAGATGAAGAGTAAGCCTTCCTCCCCCCAGCACAACTCCAGGGGGAAGGGGCACCCTTCTGCCCTCCTGAGCAGTCTTCTCTTTGTTGCTTCATCTCAAAAAGCACCAAGAATTTGAAAACGCCAACTTGAGTCACAAGGGTATATGACTCACATCGGCCAGTGGGACCTGTATTAGAGAAGTTTCTGAGGAAGTTAGTGTTTGCAAACAGACTGGTTTAGTCACTGAACAAACAGTGCCCAGGACTGTCCAGGGCACTGGGGATATGAGTATGTTACAGATATTGTCTCTTCCAAGGAAGACCGGACAGCCTGGTTGTCAGAAATGAAATACAGTCATGTAGCCAGTACCAGGACCAAGAAGCAGAGCACTGCCGGCACCCAGAGTCCCTCCCCGGTCTCCTTCCAGCCCTACCCCCATGACTAATCACCACCTGACTTCCGACAGCATAGACTACTTGTTCCTGTTTTTATACTTTGAGTCAAGTGGAGTCATACCGAGGCTCTATACATGGGTCTGCATTTCCATTGCTGTAACAAAATACCTGATGCTGAGTACCAAAAAAAAAAAGTTTATTCAGCTCATAGTCTGGAAGCTGAAAACCCAAGATTGGAAGCCCATGAAGTCAGCCTCTGAGGAGGACCCCCTTGGCCTCATCACATCTCAGTGGGTGGCATCACGGTGGAAACATGTGAGAAGAGAGAGCACGTGGAGGCAGGAAGCCAGGGACCACTACTGCTCTTTTATAACAACGCTGTCTCTCGATAGCTTGATAAGAGCCCATGAAAACTGCACGCATTGCTTCCGAGGCCAGTGCCTCAGTGCCCCAATCACTCTGCTCCAGGATCTACCTCTTAAAGGTGCCATCACCTGCTAACATCACCACACTGGAGATCAAGCTTCTAACACATGCACCCTTGAGCAAGACACTCAAACAGCACCCTAACCTTAACATTCTCTTTGTCTTCCTTGGGTCAACATTGTGATTGTGCAATGTGTCCATGTTATTCAGAGTAACTGATCATTGCTGTGCAATGCATATGCTGTATAAGTTACATCTCAATGGGTTTATCCATTCTCCTATGGGGGACTTCAGTTTGGGGCTAATCACATTCTAATGCATATGTCTGGGGAATATATACACATTTCTGCCACATTCATACCTGGGAGTGGAATTGCTGTGCCATGGCTTAGGCATATGGACAAGCCTAGAAGATGCAGCCAAGCAGGTTTCCAAAGTGTCTGTAATAGTCTACATGTCCATCAGGAAAGTACTGGAGTTCCAGTTGCTCCACATCTTTGTCAACTCTTGGTATTGTCAGTCTTTTCCATTTTAGCCGCCCCATTGTGTGTGTTAGAAAGCTCTGTAGAAGTACATTTATGTAAGTAAGAGAGGCAGGAAGATTTTTTTGACTGACATATATAATGATTCCGAGTAGCACATCTACAGTGTCACTCAACTGAGATTCACAGTGTTCCAGGTTTTGCTAGGAGTCTTTGTCCCAGGTGTTGTTCGTCTTAGTCATTGTACCTGTCTCCCTCTCCTGACTTGCCTTATTCTTGCCCTCACACTCTCTCTCTCCTTTCTCCAGCCTGGGTCTGACCTGGCGAGACATGCAGCATCTGACCGTGCTCACCTCCAAACGGAACCAGCTTCATGACGAAGTCCATCAGTGGCGGCGGAACGGAGTCGGCCTGGAGTTTAATCACCTCTTTGGTTACGGGGTCCTGGACGCAGGCGCCATGGTGAAAATGGCTAAAGACTGGAAAACCGTGCCGGAGAGATTCCACTGTGTGGGAGGCTCCGTGCAGGACCCTGAGTAAGTGGGACAGTAGCACAACTCCAGGGGTACCATTTGCATAGAACACAATTGTATAACTCACAGCTCCAGCTTCTAGAGTTGAGCCTTAACTGTCTCAGTGGCTTATGTCCTTGTTTCTTAAGTGCACAAATCAGCCAATACGGCAACACCCAGATCAGTAAACAGAAGATGATAATAGCCCAGGAGGCCCCTTGGGTCCCCTTCCCTCATCATCTCCCCAAAGGTAACCCCTGTTCTTACCTCTAACCCCACAGGTGATCCTGCCTAGTCCATATTTCACATAAACGGAAGCACATACCTTGCTGTCTTTTATATCGGGATTCTCTGCTCAGAATTATTGTGTTTGTGGGATTTGCCCACGTGTGTTGTGTATTTACTATTTATCCTCATTGAAGAAGAGTGTTCCAGCCTGTGACTATAACACCCTTTGCTTATACATTCTGTTTACAGGGCTTGCTTTCACCCTGAGTGAGGTGGATTGCTAGCCCCACACAGAAGCCACCGGCTTGGTGGAGTGTGCTTGCTGGCCTTCCAACTTCCCACCATGGTAGGAGGATGGGCGATAGGATACTTCTCTATTCAATCTCTCTCTCTCTTTCTCTCTCTCTCTCTCTCTCTCTCTCTCTTTCTCTCTCTCTCTCTCCTGGTCTCTTAGTAAGGTGGAGTTAGCAATTCTTATCAGTATTATAATTATTCCCCTATCATGAAATGCATAGAACTTAAGTGTAGTATCTGTGTCCTGATGAATGTGTATCCAGGAGCTATCACAGAACATTTGTTCCCTTAACCCACAGATGCCTCTTGTTCCTTCCAGCTTGTCCACAAACCAGTGTCTTTGTTCTTCTCACTACAGAGTAGACTTACTACTTCAGCATTGGCAAAAGATTTGTCCGGGATATAGCATGCAGCATTAGCTCATTCATTCTCGTTGCCTTGTAGTATTCCACTGAGACATGTGCCTCTGTGGCCTATGCCATTCACATCGTGGTAGGATCTGGCTCCTGTTCCGCTTCAGTGGCCCCCAACTCTGACTCCATTTCTATGGACTGTGTCACTTTGGACAATATCCAGTCTACAGCTCTATCTTCTGCTCCTGGATTTTCTGTAGCTTTTGTCATCAGCTACCCAGACCTGAACTCAAACCTTTTTTTAAACAAGATTTATTTTAAAGACAGAGAGACAGAGATTTTCCACCTCCCCTCCCCAAATGGCCACAACGGCCTGGGTGAGGTCAAAACAAGGAGCCAGGACCCCTCTCCTGGCCTCCCACAGTGGGCCATCATCTGCTGCCTTTCCAGACACATCGACAGGGAGCTGGATTGGAAGTGGAGCCGCCAATCAGACCGGCACTCAGATGTGGGCTGCTGGCATTGCAAGTGACAGGTTATGCTGTGCTGTGATGACAGCCCCCTGATTTCAAATCTTGACTTTACCAACATGAATGATACACTTATCCTCCTGAGCATCTATTGTAGCCATTCTCAACCTTTGTCCCTGACCTCTGTGGCAGGGTAAGGCCAGTAAACCTCACCTCAGCATGGTGTTCTGTTTTGTTCTGTTTTTATTTTTTTTTATGAAGCTTTTCTTTTTTTTTTAAGTTAATAGTCATTGATTAGCATTAGCAAGCATTGTGTACTTTTCATAATTATGAACTCTATTTTTTTATTTATTTTTAAGGAATACAAATTTCATAAGTACACCTTTAGGATTATAGTGATTCTTCCCACCATACCCACCCTCCCACCCCTCCTCCTCTTCCCTCTCCCATTCCCAGTCCCATTCTCCATTAAGATTCATTTTCAACTAACTTTGTACACATAAGATGAACTCTATTCTAAGTAAAGATTTTAACAATTTGCATACACACAAAGCTGTTTTAGAACTAGTTTCACAGTTAACTCTCATAGTACAACTCTTTGAAGACAGAAGTCCTGCATGGGGAGTTAGTGCACAGTGATTCCTGTTGTTAATTTAACACCTAACACTCTTATGTATGACGTAAGTGACCACCTGATGCTCTTGACATGAGCTGCATAGGCTGTGGAAGCCTTTTGAATCCACAATCTCCATCAGTATTTAGGCAAGGTCATTAGCATAGTGGAAGTTCTCTCCTTCCTTTAGAGAAAAGTACATCTTTCTTTGATGGCCGCGTCTTTCCACTGGGGTCTCACAGGGATCCTTCATGTAGAACATTTTTTTGCCACATGCCTGAAATTCATCATGATGCTTTAAAACTCATCAGACAAAGCATGTAGGATTATAAAGGAAATCAATTTGGTTGAAAACCAGTGATAAAAATGTTAAAAAATAGATTGTGATGAATTCATATATGCCCTTTTATTCACACAGTACACAGAAAGCTCTAGAGGCAAATCTAATAGCCATGATCATTTCACAGCAGTGAGAGCCACTTAAGACACTTGCAGGGGCCGGCACCGTGGCGCAGTAGGTTAATCCTCCACTTGTGGCACCAGCATCCCATATGGGCGCTGGTTCTAGTCCTGGCTGCTCCTCGTCCAATCCAGCTCTCTGCTGTGGCCTGGGAAAGCAGTAGAAGATGGCCCAAGTCCTTGGGCTCCTGCACCCGCATGGGAGACCAGGAAGAAGCTCCTGGCTTTGGATCAGCACAGCTCTAGCTGTTGCGGCCATTTGGGGAGGAACCAACAGAAGGAAGACTTTTCTCGCTGTCTCTCCCTCTCACTGTCTGTAACTCTACCTCTCAAATAAATAAATAAAATCTTAAAAAAAAAAAAAAAAAGACACCTGCAGGGGCCAGCACTGTGGCTCAGCGGGCTAAACCACCATCTGCAGTGCCAGCATCCCATGGAGTGCCAGCATCCCATGGGGTGCCAGTTGGTGTCCCAGCTGCTCCACTTCTGACCCAGCTCCCTGCTCATGCACCTGGGCAAGCAGCAGAGGATGGCCCAAGTCCTTGGGCCCCTGCCACCCACATGGTAGACCCAGATGAAGCTCCTGGCTCCTGGCATCATTCTGGCCAAGCCCTGCCATTGTGGCTATTTGGGTAGTGAATTGGAGGATGGAACCACATTCTCTCTCTCTCTCTCTCTCTCTCTCTATATATATATATATATATACACACACACACACACATATATGTATATATGTATGTATATATATATATAACTCTGAATTTCAAATAAATAAATAAATATTTTAAAAAACAAGAACCAGGCTGGCACCGTGGCTCAACAGGCTAATCCTCCGCCTTGCGGCGCCGGCACACCAGGTTCTAGTCCCGGTCGGGGCGCCGGATTCTGTCCCGGTTGCCCCTCTTCCAGGCCAGCTCTCTGCTGTGGCCCGGGAATGCAGTGGAGGATGTCCCAAGTCCTTGGGCCCTACACCCGCATGGGAGACCAGGAAAAGCACCTGGCTCCTGGCTTCGGATCAGCGTGATGTGCCGGCCACAGCTCGCTGGCCGCGGCGGCCATTGGAGGGTGAACCAACGGCAAAGGAAGACCTTTCTCTCTGTCTCTCTCACTGTCCACTCTGCCTATCAGAAAAAAAAAAAAAACACCAAGAACCAAAAAGACACCTGCAGTGACTGATGTGGGCTCACTGACAGCAGAAGCTCGGGAAGTGCTCACCCCCTGCCCCGGGGCCGCATTCAGAATGGAAGGGGAAGCTGAGTCTCCGGCAGTGGTTTGGTAAAACTAAGATGCACGGTTTCCCCTCCAAACTGTTAGACTCCTGCTGTGCCCCGAAAAAGAGCCTCTTCTCTCTTCCCTCAGAATCAATGGAGGTCATGTCCCTTTCCTCCCCGAGTCGGAGGACGTTAGCACATACAGGTGTGAAGCTGGCCCGTGAAAGGCCCTAGAGAATGGAGCTTTGTCTTTCCCACTCAACCATCACTGGAAACGTTCATACTGTGGGGGAAAAAAGATAATATGAGCAGGCTTTGGGGGCAGCTTGGGACACACTCATCCCATATCAGAGCACCTGGGTTCCAGACTCAGCTCTGCTCCTGATTCCAGCTTCCTGCTAATGTGCACTCTGGGAGACAGCAGATGATGACTTCGGTGCTTGGGCTCCTGCCACCCACAGGGGAGATCCAGATGGAGTTCCTGGCTCCTGGCTTCTGCCTGGCCTAATCCCAACTATTGCAAGTATTTAGAGAGAGAAACAGTGGATGGGAGATTCTCTCTCTCTCTCTCTCTCTCCCTCTCTCCCTTTCAAGTGACATGAAAATAAAATGTTTAAAAGAAAGAAAATAACATGGTGAAATTTCAGAGGCAGTGATTGCCAGATTCATGTGTGAATTCCAAATTGTGTATCCTCCTGGCCTAAGGCGTCCTCCCTTAAATGAACTTCCTCCCCTGGGCAAGCCTCCTCCCCCAGGTGAGCACCCCCCAACACAGGTGAGCATCATTCCCTGGGCTCGCAGCCTGCCGCGGACAAGCGTCGGCCCTCGGGCAAATGGCCCCCGTGTTCCCTGAGCCCCTGGAGCACAGCGCCACATGGATCGCTGCACAGCTGTGTCTCTTTTTTCCCATGGGCTTGTCCGTGATCTCACAAGGCATCGCTCCTGTCAGCTCTGTGTAAGAAGACGAAGATTTGGCCTGGGCCCTACAACAATCTGAAGACTCAAGCCGCACGTGCTCCCTGGGGTGTTGTGAACAAGGACATCCCAGTAGAGACTGCACTTGCCCACTGGGATGTGGCCTCCCCGGCCCAGGTGTCAGCTCTCCCCCGCAGGTAACGCAGGGAATTCTCTGTGATCGCGGCCTCTGCCGAGATGGGGCTGCGGGGCTGCTGGGGAAGCAGAGAGCTTCCTGAGACAAAAGTGGTGACTGCAGAGACCCTCAGCCGCCTGTGCACGCATCACTGCTGTTCATGCCCCTCCTCTTGGCGAGACAGCTGGTGCTGAGGCCCAACCAGCCCATTACAGAGGCTGTCAGTGTACGCGAAGGAAGGAAGGAGCATTCGTTGAGCACCTACTGTGTGGACTCTGCACACTCACGGGCGGCACAGTTGCCCCATTGTTGCAGGCGTGCCGCTTCTCACTCAGGGCAATGGTGCATGGCAGCATCAGCAGCAGCTGGCCGCTGCTGTGTCTCAGTAGAGAAGCAGCAGCGTGTGCCAGGCTGTGCCAGCCTTCTGCACACACTGCAAGCCCAGGAGGTGTTTCCCGTCCTGATTACACGGGTGCGGAAGCGAAGATGCGGAACACAGAAGAAATGAGCTCAAGGAAGCAAGGGGCAACCGAGACTTGAAGCAAGGCCCGTCTGAGTCCACATCCCAGGCTCTTTTCACAACAGGACATTGACCATGAGCTCCTAGTGTGTACCCAGGCCCTACAGCAGGCCCCATGTGAGAGCCCTGTGATAGGCCTGATGGTGTCACCGCAGCGGAGGTGGCGAGGCAGGGGCAAGTTACGGGCACACCAAAGCAGCCCAGCTGCTGAGTGGCCAAAGCGAGATTCAAGCCCGGGCCTTCTGTACCTCAGGTATCTCAGATTCTCCACCGGAGAGGGCTCTTCCCAATACGCATGCCCCCGGGTGGTCCCACTTCCTGAAACCCTGTAACCACCAACCATTCCAGAAGCCCTGTCCCTGCATTGGTCTACCGTGTCCTCTGGGAGACACTGACCCTGGGAACCAGTGTCCAGATGGGGGATTTCGGGCTCAACCAGCTTTACCTAAACTCAAGGTTAAAAGGGCATTGACGGCTCAGTTTCCCCTGTTGGAGTTCAGAGTGGTTTTTGGAGAACTGTGGAAGCTCGGGAGATTTTCTGTAGGGGTGAACGTGTTCTCTGCGCCATCCAGTACAATAGCATTGGCCACTGAGCTCGAAGAAAGGGATGCATTCCACTGAGGTACTAAGTTTCCATTTGACTTCGTTGTCATCGATTTGAATCAAAATAACCCCCTGTGGCCAGGGGCTCCCACCTGAGACAGCTTCCCTCTAAGGCCGGTGGGGTAGCCCCACCTTTGCAGAAGAGATGCTAAACAGGACGAACAGAACAGGGAGTGGAAATGGAAGGATGTCACCAGTGGAGGCTCCCAGAAGGCCAGGCCAGTGCATCTGGTGGTCTTGCACCCACTCCTGGTGCCAAGACTCGGCTGCTCACTCCCCACGCGTGAACAGCACGACATTGGAAGTCCTGACGCAAAAGCCCAGGCACGGACCTGGGAGAGTGCTGTTCAGAAACCCTCAGCGGCAGTCACCGCCAGTCCCTGACGTCTACTGTGTCATGTTACCACGAGATGTTGGCATCACCAGCTTCAGTCTACAGTTGAGAAAGCAGGAAGATAGAATGCATGGCTCTGGTTCACAGAACCAGCACCTCCGACGTTCCCTGCATTCTACAAAAGCCTGGACCTGGAGCCTCCCTCCCTCCTTACAAACAGGAAAGACTCTGTGTGTCTGGAACTCTGCTGTGCCAGCAGCGCTGGGGCCCAGGCGTCCCTCAGAGCACAGCCATTGGAGCACCAGCCTCGTTTGCATTCACATTGGCTACATTCACAATCAACAGATGGTGCTACCACAACATTTAATTTGTATCTTATTTATATTTATTTGAAAGGCAGAGAGACAAAGAAAGATCTTCCATCTGCTGGTTGACTCCCCAAATGCATGCAATGGCCAGTGGCCGGCCAGGTTGAAGCCCAGAGCCTGAAATGCAATTTGGGTCTTCCATGTGGGTGGCAGAGACCCATGTAGTTGAGCCCTCACCTACTGCTTCCTAGCGTGTGTGCATTGGCAGGAAGCAGAAGTCAGTAGCAGAGTCAGGATTTGCACCTCAGCACTCTGATATGGGCTGCACACTTCCCAAGTGGCATCCTCGTCTCTGCACCAAATGCCACCCCCACTGCGTTATTTAGGGGAACCGTTAGCGTGGAATATGCTGGAGCCCTCTGGGTGGAGGTGTGTGTTGATAGCAGACCTATGCTCTGAAGTCAAGCAAGATGGACTCCCTATGACCCTCAGAGGTGATGTGTCTGTGAGAGAGGGTGGGAGGGAGGAAGGGAGGGAGGGAGGAGAGGAGAGGACGTGGGCCGAATCTGCCTGGCATTCCAGCATAATCCACGCCACTGTGGAATTTGGAGCAGGAGGGAGCCCTGGAAATGATGTTGTGCAGATTCATCACTGAAGTAACTGGAGGCCCAGAGATGCCATTGTCCCAACCACTCAGGAACTTCATCCCCTGTTGGTAGCCCTGTTTTCAAGGAAACTGGAGAGCTATTGAGGCAGGAGCTCAGCGGGCCCTCCCTCCACAAGGACAGAGACCTCAAATGTCTTGCTCATGGCTGTATCTCTGGTGCCTAGAACAGTGCCAGGCACTTGGTAAACAAGAGGGCCATACGTTGTGTAGGAAGGAAGGAATGAGATTATTCGGCCAGCACGACCCCCGCACGAGGAAAATGTCCCAGTGATGGCCATAGGACAGCAGGCCAGGCAGGTAAACCTCGCCTTGTTAGAATCTGGGCTCTGCGTCCTCTCCTCCAGCCCTGCCACTGAACTTGGCTCTGATGCTGGTGACCCCCCACAAGGGACTCCAACTCTGTGGCCAAAGACACCCCAAAGTCTTCTACCCTTTCACAGTATTGTCTTTCACTAGAATTAATTAACCCAATTTCAGCCTTTTTAAATGTCAGTACAGGTTGAGCATTGCTGATCCAAATTGCATCAAAATCCAAGATATTTTGAGCACCAACATGAGGGCACAAGTGGAAAATTCCACAGCTGACCTCATGAAATAGGTCACAGTCAAAGCACAGCTGCACTACAGATACTGCATGAAATTACCTTGAGGCTGTGTGTACAAGATATACATGAAACACTAATAATTTTCACATTTAGACTTGGGTGCCCTCCCCAAGGCACCTCATTGTGGATGTACAAATATTCCAGAATCCAAAGTCCAAACACTCTGGTCTTAAACACTTTGAATAATGGATATTCAACCTGTTATAACATTCATATTAACAATAGCTTCTATTTGTCAAGATTCTGAGCCCTTTTGAGTTGTCCCTGAGACAGGGCTGGAGTGCTTACTCTTTTCTTTTCATTTTTAAAGATTTAATTATTTATTTAAAGAGCAGAGTTACAGAGAGGCAAAGGCAGAGAGAGACAGACAGACAGACAGACAGAAAAGTCTTCCATCCACTGGTTCACTCCCCAAATAGCTGTAATGGCCAGAGCTAAGCTGATCGGAAGCCAGGAGCCAAGAACTTCTTTTGGGTCTCCCATGTGGGTGCAGGGGCCCAAAGACTTGGGCCATCCTCCACTACTGTCCCAGGCTATAGCAGAGAACTGGATCAGAAGTGGAACAGCCTGGATGCTGGCACTGCAGGAGGCAGCTTTACCTGCTGTGCCACAGCGCCAGCTCTTATTCCTTTCTTTAAATTAATTGATTGATTGATTGATTGATTGATTTGAAAGGCAGAGCAACAAAGAGAGGGAGAGACAGAGACAGAGATCTTCCATCTGCTGATCCACTCCCCAAATACCTGCAACAGCCAGGAACTGCATCCAGATCTCCCACTTGGGTGGCCCAAGTACCTGAGTCGTCATCTCCTACCTTCCCAGGTGCATTAACCAGAGGCTAGATGGGAAATGGAGGAGCCTGGACTCAAGCCAGCACTTCACTAGGGGTGGGGGTGTCCCCTGTGGTGGCTTCATACACTGTGGGGCACAGTGCCCCCTCCCCACTGACAGGTTTTGGAGACGGACATGAGGAAGTGGAGATGTGAGACAGGGCAAAAGCCAGCCAAGAGTGCATGGATGAGAAGTTGCCACCATGAGCAAGCAGGCTGAATCCCAGTGGGGACCTGAGTTGACCCATTGAGAAAGGGGAAGTTGGAGTGTTATTTATCCACCACCCACCAACCACTGGTCGAGGATGGACACTTAGAAGTGAATCCCAGATGCCTTTGGGCTCTCCAGCACACTGGCTGAGCAAACTGCCGTGGTGTTAGACACTGCAGCCACACGTAAACATAGGGTGGCTCTGGAGGGGCACCAGCAGCCTCCCCCACCTTCCCTTTCTACACAGACGCCTCTGAGTGAAAGCCATGTGCTCAGACTCCAAAGCTGGGGTGGAGTTAACCCAGGTCGGCCCCATTAACCCCAAAGCCCTGCTCTTCCTGCTCCCTGAGGTTGCCTTCAACCCACCTCCCACCTGCTCGTGGTGTGCCCACCTCCCCTGACTGTCTCCTCCTCACTTTGCCCCCAGGAAAATTCCACCCACTGGCAAGTTGGTGCTGACCCTCACAACCGACGCGTGCGAAGGGAAAGAGAATTTCGTCCGCTACCTCGAGCATGTCCAAGCGGTCATCACGGTCAACGCCACGAGGAGAGGAGACCTGAACATCAACATGACCTCCCCGATGGGCACCAAGTCCATCCTGCTAAGCCGGCGGCCCCGGGACGACGACTCCAAGGTGGGCTTTGACAAGTGGCCGTTCATGACCACCCATACGTGGGGGGAAGACGCCCGGGGAACCTGGACCCTGGAGCTGGGGTTTGTCGGCAGCACGCCCCAGAAGGGGGTGCTGAAGGAGTGGACCCTGATGTTGCACGGCACGCAGAGCGCACCGTACATCGACCAGGTGGTGAGGGATTACCAGTCTAAGCTGGCCATGTCCAAGAAGGAGGAGCTGGAGGAAGAGCTGGACGAAGCCGTGGAAAGAAGCCTGCAGAGCATCCTGAGCAAGAACTAGGCCACCCGCCACCCTGTCGCCCCGCCTCTGCCTCCGCCCAGCAGCTGCTGTCACCCCTCCCCCAACACGAGTCCATCGCCTGAGCTGAAAGCTTTGCCCACTGTCCATGATGATTTTCACGACAATGAAAACAACCTTTTCTATTCCACCATGCCCCAGATATAGTGTTCCCACCAACGTGTATGTCCCACATGTCACTCCAAGTTCTTTCTTTCCCGCATCCAAATGGGTGATGTCCTGCAAACGAAACTGGCACAGCTTCTCCCAGCCCCCCAGCCCCCCAGCCCCAATTTTTTTTCCTCTCTGAGAAAAGAGCACATTTCAAAAGCCACGCCCAGTGGCTGCGAGAATGTTTGTCCCGCGGCCTGAACGAAGCACAAGAGAGGTGGTGGGTCCTTTGGGGAGAGGTAATTTGAACTTACCATCCCTGGATGGTAGATGAAATCACACCATCCAGGGAGAGGCCTAGTTACTAGATGGGGGCAAGAGATCCGAAAAGCAAGAGCTTTGGAAATTTCACCACCAACCCCAAAATCCTTCCTTTACCTGTCCTGCTCAGCCAACATGATAAGTATGTAATCTAAGAAAGTTCTGGAAAAATCTGCAGGAGCAGCCCAAATTTCTCTCCATTTGCAGAGTTCAGCCCAGCCCCAGTTTTCTGGGGTTCCTCACATAGCTGTCCAAAAGAAAATGGGGCAAGTCAATCAGGCAGACGTGGCCACCTGTCTGGGGCAGGGTCGTTTGCTCTCTGGTTTTTCAAACTACGTCTCTGGGGTATCTTCATCTGATATAAGGGAGAGGCGAGGTGAGTGTTTTCTCAAAGCTTTGCACACATCTCCTTGGGCTTTAATTTCAAAAAAAAAAAAAAAAAAAAACACTGGAGAGGAACAACTTCCTGCCTCTTGCTGTGAGTTCATTGATGTGTTGGAAGGGTGATGGAGACGTGTGCGAGGACACGAGTGGCATCCCCACTTGGACCCCTCGACCGGTGGAGCCTCTTCTGCCGAGAAAGGGATGTGCCACGTGCCAGCTCGCTCCCCGGTCCCTTGAGGGCTGCAGGAAGCAACAGGACAGCTCTGTTGGCACATGGTGCCATCTTGGTGACTCGGCAGGCCGCGAGACATCAAGCATGCAACCAGAGGCGGCTGTTGTCAGCCCCAGAACCCACCATTTCTTTGCTAGACTGACGACCAAGTGACTTCCTGTCACTTTATTTTCCTACCCAGGTTTACCTTCTCATTCCCAGTGGCAGGGCCCACCCATTCCCAAGACACGGCTCCTCCTCTCCCACTCCCGGCTCCTCCCTCCCTTCCCATGGGATCTGCTGGCATAGCCCCAGGTCCTGTTCCCCAGGCCCGCAACACAGAGCACTAACGATGGCAACTTTGAGAGAGAATCTGGAAGTCCCAGTGTCTGTCTCTTCTCCCCCATCTTGGCATGAATTCCAGTCTTCTCGAACATCTTGTGACCTTCCTCCATCATGCTTTGAAGTGTAATATTTATGATTTTTTAAAAGAAATTTATTACTTGTTGCAAAGGTCTTTTTAAACCAGTTTAAAGAAACAATAAATGGAAATCATTGAAAATTCATTTCACATTAATTGTCTGAAAATAAACCAAAGGACATTATGTGTGCATGTGTGTATAAAGTGCACACAGAAATATATATACATATGTAGACTATATACATGTGTGTATATGTGTATATATATACACTTGTATAAATGTATATACACACATATACCCAAAATGTGTGTACGTGTACTTATTTAAAGAAACAGACACTATATTCATCTCTTAAAGAATATTCAGAGACTATCACGATGATTCTGGCTGAAGCAAAAGGCCGGTGGAAATTCAGGTCAAAGTGTTCATCCATCCCCATTACGTCACCTGTGTAATTTCACAACTCTCTGTATAAACATTAAATGTCTTCTATAGCAGCAAAAATATGAAATAGTTGTCCATATTTTCAAAGTTGTGGTATAATTTATGAAATTAGAGAGTGACTTATCCGCTTCTTAATAGAAATGGCAAGTTTTGATATGACTATACAGTATATAAAATATATATAGTGCTATATATCCACACATTGGGTCTCTTTCATTTCTTTTTGGCTTCAGTATTGATGCTGACCTCTGTCTAGCTAGTGCTATTTTTATGATATCCCCGATCCTAATGCAAGAGACATTTACTCATTTATTTTAAAGCTAAAATAAGTGATTGATGAATAGGGTTCACATTGTTCTACCCTGTGCCAGATTTTATAAGTAAATTTAGAAGGACATGTTGTAGATTAGGAGACTCAACAATAAAACATTGCCTTCCAGAAATCATGTGGGATGTGCTGTATCGTCCATGGAAACCCATCCATTCTAGGGGCACATAATAAAAAGTTGTTGCCATATAGAGACCTTAAAAGCCTGCCTGGGCGAACTTGCATGAAAGATGTACGATTAGTGTGTAAATCATACGTCAAACATGGCCAAGGGCAGCATGTTTCAAATTCCGGTTATAGCCATTAGCGGACTGTAAACTCGATTCAGGAAGTCAGTACGGAGTCTGTTAACAGAAGAGAGCGGAGCAGATCGTGCACGTGAAGGGGAAGGCTGGCTTCCTGAAACACTCGTTTCTGGGGAGTGCTGGCTTCAGTGTGTCTGAGTGTGGATACCGGTTCAGGGTATGAAATGCATCTCTCAGTATGGCTCATGGGCAAAAATCTTTTAGAAACGCTACTCTGGAGTACATAGTCAGGCTAGACCATGTTACAGCACGAGAGCAAATGCCTCGAACTCCCCGTCGTTTAACACAGCAGAGATTTCTCTGTCGCTGTCACGAATTCCAGTGGGGGCACAGGAGACTCAGTGAGACCACAGAGTCAACTCAGGGATCCAGGCTCTTCTGCCGAAGCTGCCAGTCACCGTGCAGAAGAGACGCCATGGGGACCTCTCTCCACTCGTCTTTATTTTTTTAAGTTTATTTATTTTTATGCATTTGAAAGGCCAGAGACAGAGACAGAGATCGTCCATCTGCTGGTTCACTACCTAAATGCCCACAACAGCCAAGACTGCGCTAGACTGAAACTCAACAGGAAACTCAATCCCATTCTCCCACATAAGTGGCAGGGACCTGAGTACTTGAGCCATCACCTGCTGCCTCCCAGGATGCACGGTAGCAAGAAGCCCAGTAAAAAGCTGAGCTGGGCCATGAAGCCAGGCACTCCAATATGGTATGCGGGCATCCTAACTGGCCTCCAGCTGCAAGGTCGGGGCAGAGGGACATCCTGCAGCTACAGAGCCGTGGCAGGCCCAGGTGCCAGAGCAGCACTGGCCAGGGCCGCCTTCAACAGGATACAGGAGAGGGTGGACCAAAACCTCCACTTCCTCACCTGGCCACCAGGAGAACGTGGAGATGGCCCCGCCAGTCTCTTTAGGACCCTCAACTGGATGGAGGACCCATCGGCCCGTCGCTTCCCTGCCTGTGCCCCCTCCTCACTCCTCAGGAGATACAAGCCAGAATAGGGGCTTGTACAGGCAGAATTTACTAGAACACCCCATAAGCTAAGGACAAAGTATTGTTACTTAGTGAATTCAAAAGGCAAAAGAGAACCCAAAAATGTGGACCAAGGAGCCTAGCATGTGTGGGAGGCAGGGGCTCATAGGAAAGCGGCTGTGATGCTGGGAAATTGAAGTGGAGGCACCCCTGGCCCAGGCAGGATCCCAAGGCCCCTGCCCTGTGTGGGGCACCCTGGCCTGTCTCTCTCGCAGCACTGGGAGCTGGAGCAGGAGTACCTGTACCAGGACCTGAAAGGCAGCGAGCTATGCCCGGGCAGGATGAAGCCGAGGACTTGCTGGTGGAGGTCCACGGTGGTCCCCACATGTCCCACTTGAGTCCAAGGACTTGGGGGGCAAAAGACCAAAGGAACCACCTCGTAGCTTGTCCCCTCCAAGGATTCCCTTGAGACAACTGGTGCTCTCACACATGAACCTACACCATTTTTTCTGAGAAACCAACACTGAGAGGCCTAGGGGCTGGAGCGGTCTCAGCCTTTGCATGGGGCAGGAGCCCAAGTGCCTGTGGGTACCTTCTGATTGGCAGAGAGGCTGGAGTTAAGACAAGTGGAGGGCCTGGCAGGGGTGGGGCATGGGACTAAGACTCAGAGCTCCAAAGAGGGGGCATCCCAGTCCAGCTGGGGTTGGGGGGGGATCTCTGAGAAGATCCTAACAAGGTTGCTGTTGCGAATGCTGGTGGAACTGGGCAGGGGCGGGGAGGTACTGCACTGTGAGGGGAAACAAGCTGTCCCTTCAGGCTGCCCATAACAGCATGCCGTGGACCAGGGACCACATACACAGCAAAGCTGCTTTCTCAGTTCTGGGGGCTGGAAATCCAAGATCAAGTGGCTGGCAGATCCAGTGTCTGCTGAGAGCCCTCCTTCCTTCCAGGCGACAGAGCACTTTCTCACTCTACCCTGCCATGGTGGAAGAGGTATCTCCGGGGCCTCTTTTATTATTATTATTTTATTATTATTAGGGAGGCAGAGAGACAGAGACAGACTGCTCCCCTTTACTGGATCACTCCCCAAATGCCCACAATGACCAGGGCGGGGCAGAGGCTGAAGATGAGAGCCAAACACTCAATCCAGGCCTCCTGTATGGGCGGCAGGAACCCAACTCCTTGAGCCATCACCACTGCCTCCCAGGTCTGCATTAGCAGGAAGCTGGAGTCCGGAGCTGGAGCCGGGTATCGAACCAAGCACCCCTATGCCAGACACAGGCATCCCAGCCAGCATCTTCATTGCTGGCCCATACACCCAAGAGGCCTCTTTATAAGGGCACAGATCTCATTCATCAGGGCTCTGTTCCTACGTTTAAGTTATTGCCCGAAGGCCAAACCTCCAAATACCTTTCACCTTGGAAGTAAGGATTTCAGCATGTGTGTGTGGGACAGGAAGCTTCCGCTCACAGCAGAAGCAGTGCCAGCTTGATGTGGACAGGAACAAAAAGGAACCAAAAGGGAGGGGACCCTGCTACCGCCCCCTGTAGCTTTTCACTCCTCCCCTCTCCCCACTGACAGAGCCTCCCCACAACCACCACCAGCAGCAGACTTTCAGGCCCACCATGACAGCGCAGAGGACAAGTCGGGAGTGAGAGCCGGGAGTGTCCATGGGCACCCTGGGCACGCTCACAACCCTCCTGCACCCAGACCTTGCTCTGGGTCCGCTCTGGGGGGCCTCCCACCGTGACTCAAACCTCAGGTTCTGCTTTGATATGGACCCTCGATAATCAACTGTTATCTTGGAGATCTTTGGGGTTGCAAGCAACAGAAATCCTCCCTAACGAATGAAGGCAAATGGGCAGGAGGTCAAGTGCACGCGGAGCAGCTCCCAGAACTCACGGACCACCTGCACAAAGTGCCTACACCAGCCCAGAGAAAGGACAGAGACTGGAGCCAGCCTGGATACCTAGATACACAGCAAGAGGCAGGGGTGCCCTCATCGGAACGTGCCCACTGAGGGACAAGCACCACCATTTTCACTCTTGGTTTTGCTGAACTCAGATTTCCAATGTCAATGAGAGCGAATCTGATGCGTCCAGTTTGGTTCACCTGCCCACCCAGCCTGAGGCCAGAGGAAGGCAGGATTTCTTTCTCATCTGGGGAATACACTGTGTAGGAGGAGTAGACTTAGGATCGGTGCCTGAGAAATGGGAGATGTTACCGGGCAGTTACGGGCAGCAGATGACATAATCCAGAGGCCAATCCTGACCCAGGAAGTGGAAGGCAAGGAAGAGGGAGAGGGAGAGAGGGATGGAGAGGGAGAGGAAAGGGAACCAGGGAAGGAAGGAGGCCAACAAGGGGCACCTTGGTACATGGGCTTCTTGGTGGGCAACCAGGACCAAGTCCACTGGGAACCTGCAAGAGGAGACTGTGTACAGCATGCCTAAGAAGCACCAATGGCCCAGAGCATGGACCAAACGTGCTAGGGCCACAGGAAACCTACGGCAGGGAGTGATAGGCGCTTCCATGAGAAGAAGCCTTGGGGTGTGGACATGAGCTGGGCGCCTGGGCGGCCGATGCAGCCCAGTGGCTGGTCACCAACTGGAGTGTCTGGGGAGGGGACTTTATGGAGCAGACAGCTCTGGCAGCCAGACCACACAGAGGCTGCAGCACCGAAGGGAGAACGAGACCCATCACTCAGACAATCGGGCGGTCTGCTCCGAGTCCCCAGCTCTATGAACAGGCAAACCGTGGACCCACACTGGCTTCCAGAACCTCAGGGAGGGGAAAAGCTGGGAACTGAACTGATTCTGCAGCTCTTGGGAGGGCGAGGGGAGGTGGGAGGGTGCAGAGACAGGACCAAGCCAGAACAGTGCAGTCATCAAGAAAATGAGCAGAGGGGGCAAAATCCCTGAGACCCTGGAGGGTGGGGGACCTGCTGCCGGTGGTGGCCAGCCCCACCCGTTACACGTGGGCCCAACCGCAGGCTGAGGACAGCCCGCCAGGAAACAGGGCTTACCTGGCCCCTACCTCCCTGCACCTCTCCTTCCACTGTCTCTCGCCAGTCCCCTTTGTTTCTCCCAGCCTTGGCCACGCTCATTCTGCACCAGGGCCTTTGCACTTGCAGCTCGGCCTGGAATGCTCGCCCCTCAGATCTTCACATCATGGCCCCATATCGTCACTCAACTCATACACCACCTCCTCCAGGGAGTCTTCTCTTGACCCCTCCAACCCCCAGTAGACCCCAGTCATACCAGCATGCCACCCTGTTTGAGTTCCAGCGTAGAATGTCCCCAGCAGAGACTAAGTAGTCTCTTAGTTGACTGCTCTGGGTCCCCAAATTTACTAACAGCGCATATCCTGCCTCCCCAACCACAGCCCTCCACCTGTGAGAACAAGGCAAGCGCTGATTGTCCTCAGCTGTCCCCATAGTGCCCAGCATCAGGCCTGGCACAGAACAGATTCCCGATCCATCTCTCTTGATTAATGGAATAAAATATTAAAATGGGGGCTGGCGTTATGGTTTAGTAGGCTAAGCCTCCGCCTGTGGTATCCTTTATGGGCACCAGTTCAAGTCCTGGCTGCTCCTCTTCCGATCCAGTTCTCTGCTATGGCCTGGGAAAGCAATAGAAGATGGCCCAAGTGCTTGGGCCCCTGAACCTGCCTGGGAGACTCAGAGGAAGCTCCTGGCTCCTGGCTTTGGATCAGCACAGCTCCGGCCGTTGCAACCATTTGGGGAGTGAACCAGTGGATGGAAGACCATTCTCTCTGTCACTCCCTCTAACTCTGCCTCTCAAATAGATGAATCTTTAAATATTTATATATACATATATATATATATACACATGTGTGTGTGAGAGAGACCTTTCATTCCAAAACAATACCTCCTGCCTTTTAAAATATGAAACTTGACT